TGTGTGTGTGTGTGTGTGTGTGTGTGTGTGTGTGTGTGTGTGTGTGTGTGTGTGTGTGTGTGCGTGTGTGTGTGTGTGTACATGCGTTCCCCTCCCGGGTCTCCCCCACCAATCAATCAATCAATCAATCAATCAACCAATCAATCAAAAAAACTATCAATCAATCAATATTTATTTTTTTCTATTTATTTAATTTTTTTGGTCACATACCAAAAAACATCCCCCCAATTTCTTTTTATTTTTTATCTTTTTTAATGAACAGGGCCATAGAGGCCGACGTGCAATGGCCACGCACATGCGCCCCCGCCTTGGCCTCGCGCGGTCATGCGGAAACCCGGCCGTGGGCCCACAGTCAGCCTCCTCAGCCACTGACAAGGCCGCAGGATCCACGGCCTAGGGTGTCACGTAGGTTGGCAGTTCTTTGTCTTCTTCAATTTTATGTACTTCTTGTTTTTTTTTCTGTTGTGTAATAAGCATGGCTACGCCAGATCCGGACCCGGACCAGGACATTTCCTGACACGGACCCCGACCCGTGTCCGGAAGTTTCCGGACGTCCGGAATTCCGGACATTTCCGGACCTCCGGACATGGGGGGATCCAGACGGTCCGGATGTCTGGACAGGTCCGGAAAATGTCCGGATCGAAAGAAAAGAGATTAAAAAATCTGAAAAAAAAGTATGTTATGCAGAATAACAATGCAAACCACTTTTGCCTCAGATATGTCAGAATTCCTAACCAAACTTAATTAAAAGTCAAAAACTATAAAAAAAGTTAAAAAAACTAATAAAAGGTAATGAATTATTCATAATAAAAAACTTGGGGTTGTCTAATAAATTATTATAGAGAGCAATTCCGGACCCCCCAAAAAAGCATAAACGGGCCTGAAAAACCTTGGGGGCTTGGCTCCTCAATGGGGAAGGGTCCTGGAGCGTTTCTTTTTTTTTTTTTTTTCTCGAAATTTGGCAGATCCGGACCGTCTGGACCGGACGTCCGGATTCCGGACCCAATCCGGACCATCTGGACCGCGGTCCGGACGTCGGATCATAGCCATGGTAATAAGGAAAATATCAAGGAATGAGAAAAAATATATAAATAGTACTGTTATTTTGCAATGGCCATTAGAATGTGTGTGTGTGTGTGTGTGTGTGTGTGTGTGTGTGTGTGTGGCACTGTGTGTGTGTGTGAATGTGTGTATGTGTGTGTGTGTGATTGTGCGTATGTGTGTAGGTGTGGGTGTAGGTGTGAATGTGTGTGAATGTGTGTGAATGCGTGTGTGTGTGAATGCGTGTGTGTGTGAATGCATGTGCGTGTGAATGTGTGTTTGTGTGTGTGTGTGTGTGCGTATATATGTATGTGTGTGTGTGTGCGCATGCGCGCACGTGTGTGCGTGTGTGTGTGTGTGTGTGTGTGTGTGTGTGTGTGTGTGTGTGAGAGAGAGAGAGAGAGAGAGAGAGAGATTTCGATGGATAGGATGAGCAGCGCACGCCAACAGGTAAGTCTTGAACCCCGCCGCTGCCTCACGCTACGTCCATTAGGATAAGCAAAATCGATTGAATCTTCCGCTACAACATTGAAATCTGTAGTCGTGCGTCATGTGTGAGAGTGTGTGTGTGTGTGCGTGTGTGTGTGTGTGTGTGTGTGTGTGTGTGAGGGGTGGTGCGGGTGGGGGGGGGGACCCCTCCCCCACCAATCAAAACCGAAGTATCAAGCTAGCCGGGTCCGAGTCCCATTTGCCCGACATCTAAACTTCTGGCCGTCGAAATCTCAACTTCTGGCGGTAGATTCGGAAGATCAACGGCCAGAAATGAAGAATCAGCGTACGTAGGACTGGCCCCTGCTCGGGATCACAACCGCGCATGCACACCACGGGAAAAGTGAGTGAAATTTGGCCCTACTACGTAGAAAGGGATGGAGTCTCGAAAACAACACTCACCGAAAGAAGAAAAACAACACCACAAACGATACGTAGACGGGCTGGGTCCAACATTGGCAAACTACGTGTCTCGCCGTCCGATGAAGGGGTGAAGCCATTTTTCAGAACTTAAACGCTATTCATGCTTACGCATGGGTAAGCATGGCATGAAAGTGATAGGTAGAAATACGTACAAGGGCACAGCCCAACTGATAGGAGGACAGCGGACAGAGACGAAGCTGTGTGTGGGGTGCACGAGGGATTCCTACGAGGAAGGGAACAGCCCAACTGATGGGAGGATGAACGATTGAAGGCAAAGTCAAAGACGAAGACTAGCATGATGCAACATTGCAACCACACACATTCATCATCAATACCTCATTCAACCGGTGACCAACTTACTCGCTTGCTGATCATCCTCATCAATCGTCAAAACACCCATACCAAATTGGCAAATGTGGACGATCACTACTCAGTATCATTCAAATAGAACGAACACCTCCTAACCTCCTAATAATACCCAAGACGACCTCCACCAGGAGCGTCTCGAGCGCTGGTACACGAACGTTTCCCACGTTCTAAGGCTTGCACAAATGCGCAGTAGAAAGGAAACTTCAGAGAAGAGTACTCGCGAACTTCACGTAGAAAAGAAACTTAAGAGGAGAATACCCGGCAACTTCACCTATCACAGTCATGCCCTCCATAGAGCTTCGTCCAACAATCGGATCGAAAAGCGTCGTGAAAGCGCTATCAAAATTATTTGGGATGCGGGCGGGAGGGCGGGGAGAGGAATCGTAGGGGAGCAACTATGGCAACAGTCACACACTCACTAACACCCGACAACACAGACTAAATATACATTGACGCTACCAAAATATAGTAATCATTGATGACCAATTTGGACGCCTACTACAGATACGAACATCGTGGCTGAACTGGGAAACAAATGCACACCCCTCCGACATTCAAAAATAAAAACAAGCAAGCCAGCGACACCCGTCAAGACCGTCTGGTATTCAGAAGGCCTAGTATGGGCATATAAACCTCCTCCTCTGGACTCAGAAACGTCAGAAGGCCTAGTATGGGTATGTACACCTCCTCTAGACTCAGAAACGTCCAAAATCTGTGTTGGTTTGAACTGGAAACAAAGCCACACTCGTCCAAAAATCGACCCAAAAAAACAAGCAAGCACCCCACACACGCCAAGGCCGTTAGCCTAGAACTCACAAGGATGTGGGTTTATAAGCCTCTACACTCAAGACGATCTTTTTTTTTTTGGGTTCCCCTCTACAAACGATCAAAACCTATGGGTGTATAAAACCTATGGATGTAATAAACCTATGGGTGTAGATATACATACATATATGTATCTTACGAGTCGGTGAAACTCCGACGAAACAGTTTGACACAGCCCCTCGTTTGTTGTCCTCTTCTCCCTCCCTCCCTCTCTGCCTACGGTTTACCGGGCAGCTCTCTTTTGATTATATATATACACATATATATATATATATGCGCAACTCGAAAATCCGTGACCGTACGATCAAGCAGATCAGCTATGAAAACCAACGGAAGGCCAGTTTCAAAATCGAAGCAGGACACGCCCAACGAGGAAAATCTCTTCGTCAGTCACAGATCATTTCTGATCTGCTCTACACGAGTCTACAAAAAGATATTGCTTCGACTGATCCACGAATGCCTCCTCTCAAATCTACCGTCCTTCGCTCAGAAAAAGACGAAGTGAATCGCTGCTGCCCCTCACTGAGACCTCCTCCACCCATAACAACGGATACCGAGGACCGGTCAAAGAGCGAGCCCACGGTCTTCACACTCATCACAGGAACAGAACGCCTGGGTCATTGTCCCTGACCACAAGTCTGAAAATTGCCTTCCCTTCGGATTTAATGAGGGGGCGGCTCTATTTGTCTAAAGACGGCAGCATGCACATGCGTGTAGTCAAACGCACCTCCTCGCTCACTCTTTCTTGACTCCATCCCCGACAATCGAGGATGGGTACGTAACGCGGCCAAGCCACCGGACAAGCTTCTGGCTGAGAGGATGCTCGCGGGGAAGGAACATGCGGTGGAACACGGACTCAATAACCTCCCAAGCAAACAATCTGTAATACATCAGAGGCGAGTAGTAATAAGGAACGTAGACATAGTGTTCACGATGCAAAGCTCCGTCGACAATCGCTTTCGCGCATTCCCTCACAGGGGTGACAATGGCGGGCCCAACGACTTCGTCCCGCGCTTCCTCGTCGCGAACAACCTTTCCCTCATCACCCTCGAGGAACTTACCGGACGTCATCTCTGACTCTATCCATCCTGGGGCAACGAAGGTGACACCACCTATCTTCCCACGGAGCTCAACGGCTATGCTGTCGTACAGTCCAAGGAGCGCGTGCTTGGCTGCCACGTACATGCTCAGCCTGGGATAAGGAATGAAAGATAGCATGGAGCCCACCACTACGATCCTCCCAACTTCGCTCTTCATCAGATAAGGCAGCGCGTAGTGTGTGGGATAGACGCTTCCCCAGAAAGTCACATCCACCTCCTTCGTCATGGCCTCGACACCTTTTATATCTTTAAACAGCACATTTTCGGCCACAGCTGCATTGTTCACCAAGAAGTCAACCCCACCCAGCTCAGCCACAGCTCTTTCCACCATAGCCTTGCACTGCTGGTCGTCCGTTACGTCCACGCCCATGCAGACCACCTTCTTCGCCCCTAGCCGTCGGCACCTCTCTCCTACCACACTTAGTCTCTCCTCCCGCCTGGCGACGATCAAGAGCTTAGCCCCCAGTCTTGCAAACTCGTACGCTGTGTGCTCACCGATTCCAGACGATGCTCCCGTTATGACCACGGCTCGGTCCCATGCACTGTCGCATATGAATCCCAGCAAGCGCGATACCCATCGAGAGAACCTGAAGAACAACAAGGCAGGCTGGATGAAGACCAGAAAGGCCATCATCGCTGGAAAGAGGAGGAGGTTGTGGACCATACGGAGGAGTGACGTCTTCATTTTCTTCGTTCAGCCAGAACCTCTTGCGTCTCTGAGAAGTTCAAAGGACTCGTGAACTCGGCAGGAGGAAAATATAAGTCTTAGAGTTGCTTTAACTGTGGGAATGTGGGTAACTCAAACAAAACCAAAGCTAACGACAGCTTCTGCCGCCCGGAAGGTCCAGGTACTCCTGTGTACAGTAATCACGCTCCCGATGGGATGGGATGTGTAAGGCAGAAATCCAGTGCCCGTGCACGATACTTACACCCTCAAATTGCGTCTGGGTTGACGTCAACAACCTGCACAAGCGAACGACATTAGAAATACTTTATCATATTAGTCGTCGCTTCCAAAATCTTCAGATTCATTTCAAATGCAGCAACGACAATATCTCGAAGACTGCTTCTCTCGTCAGCCCCTCAAACTGCGCTCACTGAGAAGTTTAGCGGGATTGCTGAGGTACTCTTCCCAATTGCTTATTCGTCAAAACCAGTGATATTGTCATCCTCCTGTGTACCCTTACTAAACCCTTCGATCCATTCGACTGGTACAATCGGAGAAAAAACACGTAAAATCATAATGAACAGACATGATTTGCCATGCCACAACACTAGCCGCGAGGGTTCCCGTTCCCCACACCATCCACGACTCTAAAAATCCTTATTGGCACGCTTTCTGGCCGGGTTACTACCCTCTTCACCCGAGTTAAACGTACGGTCATGATAGCTGACTTCAATATGTCGCCAATATTCGGCTACAATGACCGTGTGTTTAATTCAGCGACATACAACTACTTCAGCTCCCAGTATGAACTTTCCGTGCCCCACAACGGACTCGCTGACGCCTGATACTGATTACGACTGCAACGCTGCTTCCAGCTGCACGGGTAGTTATAGCCATAGAATCAATTATATCTCTGCCAACCAGATATGTCTGCCAACCAGACTATATTTGCAAGCTGACGCAAAAAGCAGGCAAAGAGAGAGAGAGAGAGAGAGAGAGAGAGAGAGAGAGAGAGAGAGAGAGAGAGAGAGAGAGAGAGAGAGGCCCTCAACGGGGCAAGCCCCCAAGACCATGCAGCCACATCGTCATGTGGTGCTATCGTTACGTG